TGATTTTCCATAAAAGTTATACATTATAAAACTTAATATTTTTATGGAATTTTTATATCAAATTTTTTATTGGGATGATGTGGTATATATTTTTTTGTTTATGTTATACTTTTTCCACCCAAGTTCAATTCAGATTTTTCCATTTGAAATTCGAATTCTATATTGTGAAAGGTGTAAGAATATAATAAATAGATCGTCTTACCTGCCCACATATTAGAAAGGATGGGAGCACTTGTAGCCAAGTCTGCATCCGCTTGGCGGGATGCTCACTCCACTGGAAATCAGGTGCAAATAATATGCTAAAATCTCCATGTAGAATATGCGATAAACCTACATTATCTTATACAGGCTATTGCTTCAAACATGCCAAAAAAATTTATCATCGCCTTGAAAGAGAGAGACAATGAATAAGTTTGTCATAATGGTGATGCCTACTTGTATAATGGTCGTTTACTTTAGTAAACCCCTACTAATAAAAAATTTTCTTGGCAAAAGTGATCAGCGTGAACAATTGTTCACGTGCACGAGATTTTTTTTATTTGAATGCTTATATGTAGTGTATTAGTTATAGATCATGTCATCAGAGCTTGAATTATTAAGACAGCGCATTAGCGAGCTTGAAGATAAGAACGCCAAGCTTTAGGCTAAGAAAGCTGAACTTATAAAGCAGGTTATGGAGAAAGATGCTAAGCGTGATGTTGAGAATACTGAACTCAAGTCTAGAGTCAGGGAGCTTGAGACCAGACTTGCAATATTGGAACAGGGTGTTACTGAAGTAAATGAACAACCACAGAATGATAAGGAAGTGATAGCAGAAGTATCAGCCGTTGATATATCTGACTCTGTAATAGACCAGCAAAATAATATTAACACTAAGTCAATAGAAGATAAGGAAATAGGTAATTTTATTCTGATTCAGTTATAGCTCAGCCCAAACAGTGTAAACCTCCACAGATCGAAAAGGTGACCACTAAAGTAAACCATCAAGGGGGATCGTTAAAGGATAGGAAAATGGATGCTTTCTTGGATGAGATGCATAAGAAAAAGGTTAATAATGATATTAGGTAGAGAAAGCGGGAAAAAAAGCTTCAGGGTGAATTGATTGTCCAGAAATCATCCCCAGCAATTAACACCAGTTATATAACAGACCTTTCTACGACTAGTACTGAACTTGTAACTCTTCCAGAACAGGTAGTCGAAGAATCAATTCCAAAGGAATCACCTGTAGAATCAGAAATGTCCTGTGAGTCTTCTGAAAATAAGCAGAGCACTCTGCCCCAAAAAATCCCCTATAATCAGAAAGTAGAACAAGATTTAATATGTGAATTACTTGAATTTATTAGATGTTATGATTCTACACCCATACTGAAGTCTATATCTAGCAAACATATTTCAGATGTTCCAGTTAACGCCGATCTAACTTTAGGTTCTATACCTCATTTAACTCATTTATTTAATAAGGCTGAAAAAACTGGTCAGAAAGAAAAATTACGATAGTATTACTATAGTGAGGAATATGAAAAAAGGTTGTAACCCTTAGCTCTAAAAATAATATTAGCAATCAAATGGCAAGAATGCAGATTTATGATGAAATGGAGCTGTATCTTTCCGGTAAAAAGAGAGAGTATTTGCGTAAGATGACACAAAAGGCTAAAAACACCTATACCTTGTTTAAAGGAATAGGAATAGATAAAATTGGAGTGGTTATGTCTAGCGTTGATGCAATCTCTAGATTAACTGATGTACAAATCCAGAATATAATAAATCTTTATACTGATGAACTAACCAAATCTCAAAAATTGATCAGCGTGAACAATTGTTCACGCGCACGTGATCTGCCAGCTGAATCTGAATCGAAAAAATCACCAAATGTCGGGATAAGTACTCCATCTACATCGAAAACCAATCATACTAATGAACAAGCCCAATCTAAGCCAACTTATGACTGCACCTATTTTCGCAACAAGATATTGAATCAATATCCTAATCTATATAGAGAATGTAGTAGTAAAAATTTCGATTATTATGGGATTACTGATGAGATATCATGCGGGGACTATATCTGCCCATTATGCAAATTAGGTCATGATGATGAAGAAATAGAAGGTAGGTATAAAGCAGGATCTTATTTTATTAAATATGAACAGCATGAAATTGAGATAGTTGCGTAGTCTCATTGCTTCACAATAGTCTGGGAATTTTAATCTTTTTTTTTTCGAATGAATAGGTCTATATGAGAAAAAAGGGATTTAAATTGTTTGCAGTTATATAAAAAGGAAAATGACTGAGTCTGTTAAAATACTAACCGCTGATTATCTGGATTGGCATGCCAAATTAATTGGGTTACCAAGTATTTTGACAGATAAGATTCGTTCCAAATTATACAAAAGATATAAAAAAGAAACTGGAAATAAGCCATGGCAATTATCAGAAGTGCATGCATCAGAAGCCGGTCTTTCCATAAATTTGAAGCCAGAAAATAAAGTATCCTATTTATCTTCTTCTGAGCAATGTGAAGAAAAAGGGCCTATCACCTTCGAAGCCAGACCCGATCCAGAATTAATTATCAAATCTGTCTTAAAGCATTTCACATACTTGAAATTCTGAAATAGTTTCAGAGGGATTAATAATTATAATTTTGCATCACCTTAGCCGTGGAGTTCACCATGCCTTATTTGTGATGGAAAACATGGGAATTATGGATTACATGGCTCATAGTACTGCGAAAATGGGAATCAGTTCCCTTATGATCCTGAATTAGCGAAGTTGCTATCTCAAGATAAGTTGGAATATTGTCTTACTTACAACACTTCAAGCAATAAACTCAAGTTTGCGATTGTGGCTTAAACCAGAGGAATTATAAAGAAAAAATATTTGTATATTATTTCGTTTCTTTTTTTTCGAATCTCGTGGATGGCTTATGTAAAAGAAACTGGAATCGGATGCGCAGTATATCAGGCCGAGATTTTTCTGAGTATGTCATTGAAATTAAAGTTTATCATATGATTAACTGGTAGATCCCGCTTCTATTAGTTGGAAGTGTGAAGAGTCTTCACGATTATCATATGACATAGCATGTATTGACTGTATCGTGAATACGTCTCCTTTGCCTCAAGCTAGAATAGAGAAATATCATTCGAAAAAATAAATTATGTATAATAGTCTACAATCATAGAATGGCATCATATACCCAGGGCTAGTCCTGTTTCATGTAATTTATTTTAGCTCAATGTATTGCAAATAAAAAACGTTTAGGGCACTAAGTGACCTGAGCAATGTAGTCAAATATTTTTCTCATGGCGATTGGTAATAATTTTTAGACTGTACATACTAATTTTGCTCGAGCATATATGCATGTTAATACAGGGTAATTTAGGAAATCTGGATTGGCAAATTAAAATTGCCAGCAAGGATCCAGGGACTTTTATTCTCAAAATTATTACGTATAAGGACCCCTTGATGATCTTTACATATGGATAGCGTTAAATTCTTTTATTGTTAAATTAAGAAGAGTCCGTTGATCAGATTTTCGTGATGTGATCATATTTAACGTAATTTCCCCAAAAGCGTATAACAAAATCGATTCTGTGAATTATATAAAAAGGTGATGACCTGGTTAGTGAATCCTTTATCTGCCTTGTATAAGTAAAACAAAAAATCAAGTGAAATATTCAAACTAATCAAACTTACCAATATTTACATCGTTAATATATGAACTTTTATATTCTGCAAAACAATAATAAGATATGTTGATTTTATTGCTCAGCTAGCTTCTTGAAACATGTCATCACGATGTTAATCGATTTTCTGTCTCTATAGATGTTCCAAAATAAAATGATATATTACTCTTCTTGCTATGTATCGGCATTTTGATCTTTACCGAGAAAATCTTTGACAATCATCACGCGTACAATAGATGCAGTGAAACTATTCACATGAATTTCGTCACATGCAACGGCACAGCAAAAAATTTATCTTATATAAGCATCTTCACGTACTGAATTCTTAAAACTTTGCGTAGTATCATACCGGAGATAACGCAGAAAAAATTAAGCAATAAATATCTTGTGTATAAAGCGGAATAGAATTATGTGAAAATGAATCGTGATAGTAAGTGTAAATCGTTATTGTATTATTTTTTTACCTCATTTGCTAATACTTCCGTAATTATACTATAGGTTCAAAATTTCTTAATCTAAGAGTTCTCTTTCGAGGAATAATGTTTTATATAGTCTGTGTATGTATATTCGCGTGATTTCATTGACCTGAAATAAAAAAAAATAAATAGTTTATATCGATTCTTTCCTTTCAGATATTTTTATCTATAAATGAATTGTGCTTATCAATGAAAAGTAAAATAAAGCTTTGACCTTTCTCCTTTTTTTAACTTGTGTATGCTATTAATAAAAACTTTCTGAATCTGATTGGCTGATCATCTCATGATTTATGGAAACTCGCCAGCTCTTAGAACACTTCTAGAACTATCGAGGAACTGGCAGAGAACTAGAGGAGATCTCATGTGATACAATATATAATACAAACCGATTTTAGCTGTGCATATGCATGTAAATATAAAAATAGCATAGCCCAAGATATAAATCCCTAATATGCTTATAATCGAATAAAAATGAATCCGATATTTTATTATAATATACTTGTAAATCGATAAAATAGCTATAAATCTCTATAAATCTCTTAATAGCTAAAATCATTAAATATGGTATATTCTGACCCCTTTGTGCATTTAAGTGTAACTGATTTACATATTAACTATGATCTTCCTAGAATGCGTGGGAATGAAACTCCATCAGATTGGAAGGATCAAATTTGAAACACATTAATGGAATATAGAAAAAATCATCTTTTAATTGATTATAATAAGAGATATCTTATTGCAAGAAAACAAACATATTTATTATATCAGTGTAATGTTTGGTTCAGAGTAAATATAGGAATATGCTATTCTTGTAATCAGCTTGTCTATTCCAAATTAGGAAGCGGGTATGAGTATTTCCATACATACTTTATGGATAAGCATTGACGTACAAATTGTACTGGAAATGAATATTGTGATATGAGCTTCGAAGATTACATGAAGCTGAAAAATAATTCTCCACCTTGCTATTTCATAAAGAAGGTAATCTGTCAATATGAGATGTGGTTGGAAAATGTATCAAATAGGATTCGATGTATCAGGTAAAAGCAAAAAGTGCAAAGTAATGTAAACACTACGCCTAGCAAGCCTTACTATATTTATAACCAGCAAAAAAATATCTGTATAAACAATACTTTCTTAACTCCTTTTCTGAAAAAGCCTGTCTAATATCAGAGTTACTATTCCTAAAGGGAATCTTGGATGGATAAACCACGTTCATTGACCCCTTCTCCTTTATCACCAAAGCCTATTGCGTTAATAAATGGCTTCGAGAGATACACTATGTGACGTAGTACAAGTACACTAAAGATTTCGGCCTATAGATTTGAGAGAAGCCAGGTCTTGATTGATGCTGAGGAATATTTTAATTCTGTGCAAAATAATGCGGAGATAAACTTAATATCTTTCGACTGAATAATACCATTATTTATCTCAACTATATTTAGCTGAAAGTGTGATATATGAATTATTCATAACATTTTTTTTGCGAAATAAAATCTGTATGGATGATCGCCTGATGAAATTGTGAAAAGCTTCATATATATGAAGAAAAATCTGATTTGCCTATTCCGGGTTAGATCCTCCAATATACTGTATAATTATTTTAGTGAAGTATTTCAGGAAGAACTATGAAGTGATCTTGGAGATTTTTGATTGCGAGACAATACAACTATCAGTTTGAGAATTTCTATGCAGTAGTTATCCAGCGAGCTTACAAGAATTACAAAAAAAGACCTGAGTCTTTGGCAAAACAGGTTTGGGAGGTGGTG